AAACACAGAATAACTACATGATCCAGCAATTCCATTCCTAGGTTATACCCCTCAAAAATGAAAACACATGTCCATGCAAAAACCTGTACCTAAATGTTCATAGCAGCATTATTCATAACAGCCAAAAAGTAGGAAAAAAACCAAATGTCCATCAACTGATGAATGGATAAATAAAATGTAGGACAGCCATATGAAATATTATTCAACCATAAAAAGAAATGAAGTATTGGTACACGCTACAACACTGATGAATCATGAACACATGTTAAGTGAAAGAAGCCAGTCACAAAAGATAATATATTGTATGATTCCATTTATATGAAATGTCCAGAATAGGCAAATCCATAGAGACAGAAAGCAGATTAGTGGTTGCCTAGGGCTAGAGGGGATGTGTGTGTGGGGGGAGGCAGGGAGGGAAGGGGGAAAGGGGGGCGTTTAAGGGGGTGACAGCTAAAGGGCACAGGATTTTTTGGGGGGAGATGGCAAAAATGTTCTAAAATTGATTGTGGTGATCACTGCATAACTGTAGATATAATAAAAACCATTAAATTGTAAACATTAAATGGATGATATGATTGTGAATATCTCAGTAAAACTTTTTTGAAACAGAAACTATTGCTTCTCAGAGCCATAACTTTGTATTAAATCAAAAGGAAGTAAGAAAATTAAGGTGAATGGGGCAAAAGTGATGAGATGAGAAAGCTAAATGGCAAAAATAAGGAAAAGAGAACACAAGAATATTACTTTTCCTTTGAAAATGACAAACCCTCGGCTTGAAGATGAAAAAAAAGACTTCTTTCGATACGCATATTTTTCAAAGGAAGGAGGCCTCAGAATAACATAAGAGCATTAGTCGTGGAGAGAGGCTTGGGTTTACTTTCCTTCTCTTTCATTTATTAGCCATGTGATCGGGAAAGTGACTTAAATTGCCAGAGCCTCTGTTTCTTTAGTTTAAAATGAATCCCTATATCACAAAATGTACAAATTCATAATAGAAACCCAAGAAATATTAACTACAACTATTTAAAAGTAGTTCAACCTGAAAAGAAATTTGGAAAGGCCCAAATCAATATATCAACAGTATTAAGGAAAGAATAAGTGTCTCTTTTCCAATTCCAAAATGCCAAACTGCATTCTTGTCCTTATGGTCAACCAAGATTCCTAGAGCTTTCTCTCCATTTTCTGCTTAGTAAAGCAGCACCAAAGAAAACCATATTGGAAATATAATCTTCCCTTGACAGAGTTGGCATTTAGATGGAATCCATCCTTTCAGTCTTTCACTGGAGACCATGATAAATGATTAAGCAGCAGTATTTGCAGGTTTCATCCGACCCTACCAAGGACAAAGGACTTTCATGATTGTGACTTTCAAAACCGAAGAGTCCACTGTCAACCTTAAGAAAAAGAGCTCCACTTATTAAACAAAAGCAAGGATGGGAAAACCCAGTAAAATCCAATTTTGTATGGTTTTCCAACTGAAGTATTTTCTTAAAGATAGCATTATTCAATTTATTCTCCTACCCTTTATTCTTAAAATTTTATTGTTTTAGGCTGTCTTTCTATATTCTTAATATTTGCTAGTCAGGGATCTAAAGAGTCATGGATAGACAAATCACTACCAAATGCTGCTGGGAAATAGATTTATAACTATGCCGAATATTTTCATTCTTGAAACGCTTGGCAGCCATCAATGCTTCACACATGATATCAATTAGAAGACAGAATAAGTAGCCTCACAGGATGCACGCTGGCTTCTGTGGATAGCACGCTGACAACAAAACCCCAAAAGATCAGCCCAAAATTAGTAAATGTGACCTGCTAAGGGCCACTGAATTGAGTATATTTTACAACTTTAACACACATCACAGGACATAATGGCAGCAGTTTCACAACTAATGAACACACAGAAAAGAAGATTGGAAAGGATTAAAACAAAGATATATTATTACCATCTAGGCTTGCCATGGGGGAATAGATCATTTCTGCTTATTTAGATGAACATAAGCTATTCATTACCAAACATAAAAAAGAATATTTTTATTGACAGAATTAACAGTGATGCAGTCAGTTTCAACAAATTCCACAACTCAGGACATTTGTAATATCTACAAGGAAAACATGATAGATAACACTTATTCACTTCTAGTAAGCATCAATAAAATAGTGGGTTCATCCTCTAGACAAGAAAAAGATAAAAAACATGGGATAAGGAAATAAATATTCTTCATAATAAAGGGAAGTTAACTGATTACTGGTATTGCTTTATGATTTATTAATGCTCATCTTATTACAAAAATGATTTAAAGGGGCTAGCATCTATTTGTTAGACAACATTGAATTCTTGTTTCATGTGCAACATTTCAGTTGAAGTTTCTTAAAAGTGAATTGTGATAAAAATATTATATTGAACTTGGATTTCATAACATTGAAAGAGGGACGGGATGGGGAGAGAGAAATAATGAGAAAAAGAAATGCCTTTAACCAAGCAAAGGAAAAGATTATTGAAGTATCAAAATAAGAAATAGGCTTTATTAAATAAAATACTGAGACATGATACTTCAATTCTTCTAGAAGACAATGGAATGTGAGAAGCAAGAAGCTATAGGCTCAATGTCTGTATGCCCCACAAAAATTCATGTTGAAATCCTAATCCCCAAGGTAATGGTACTAGGAGATGGAATCCTTGGGAGGTGATTAGGTTATGAGGGTAGAGCTTTCATAGTTGGGATTAGTGCCTTTATAAAGAAACTCCAGAGAGCTATCTTTCCCCTTCTGCTGTGTGAGTTCACAGTGAAAAGACAGCTGTCTATGAAAAAGATGGCTGTCCACGAACCAGGAAGTAAGCCCATACCAGACACTGAATATGCTAGTGCCTTGATCTTGGACTTCCCAGCCTCAAAAACTGTGAGAAATAAATGTCTGTTGTTAATAAGCCACCCCGTTTACATTATTTTTGTTATAGCAGCCCAAATAAATTCAGACAGTAATATATAATAGCATAATAGTGGGCTTAAAATTAATGTTATGGGTAGTGGTTTGGGTTGGGGAATGGATTTGGGGCTAAATATTCAACAATCCAAAATGGCTTCCTTTAAGTATAGAAAGAGTACCAACAGCCTCCACAATGATACTATTTGGAGAAAAAAATTAAGTCACTATCCTATTTTATGTAAATTTTAACAGAATGATAAAAAAAGACTAGTTAAAACCTTCCTGATGGCATTGACTACATCCAACTGTGTACCAACTTTACAGGAGCAAGTTCAACTTTTAAAGAGCACCTATGTGGGCAGACATTATGTAAGGCCTTTTTTGTGTGTAATCTCATTTTATCGTCACTTGAAGAAATAGAGGCTCTGAGAGGTTAAGTTAGTCATTCAAAAGGCACACAGTTAATAAATGGTCAGTATCAGGTACAGTTCCATGACAGCCTAAAAAAACAGATGCTTTCTACCACATCAGGCAACATTTTTCATACCTCCAGTACTAACTACAAAGAATGATATCTTAGAGAAATGGAATGAGAAAAATTAGTGCCACACTCTGAGAATTTCTTATGAGTGAATAAATATCAATAAACAGTAGAGCCTTATATTGAATTGTCGGGAAAGTCATAACGCATTTTTGCAACGAAAAACATAGAAAAAATACATCATGACTTTTTCAACAACCCAACAATAACAGCAGAGGGTGGATGGAGAACACAATAAGACAAAATTACTATTTTTTAGGGGGAAAAAGTTATTTTCAGAAAGAAGTTATTTCTGCTTGGAAAACATAATCAAAAAAGAAATACTCCAAAATGGTAACAGTGGTCACCTTTCGGAGGTAAAACTCTTTCTTCTGTCACAGCGTCTGTTAAAAACTTATTTAAAAACAAGGTTTAGAATTATGAAAATAATGTAATTATTAAAGTGACACTTCCCAACTCCAGATGACTGACTGGCACAATAAAACACAAAAGTCCTCGTATTCCCACGCTGTAATAGTCCTTTGCCATGAAACCCTAACAATCCTGCCAACTACTGGGCACTGAAAGCACTGTCCTTAGCACACCAGTTCCTGAACAGAGATGAGGTTTACTGCCTGCTAAAATCAGCGTTTACAGAAAAGAACATTAGTTTACTCTCATTCCAAGATCCCGAGTAAATACCTAACCTCCCTCTGAGGTCTATTTTCCTCACCTGTAAAATGGTGTTATAATCCTTATATTGCAGAATTGTTAAAAAATATAATAAATGAAAAGTGCTTTGCACAAAAAGATGAGCACATAAACACTTAATACAGTCATAGCTTATATTATTATATTCATTATCATCATATCAATCATAATTACCATAAGCTAAAAGAATTCTACTTAGACTCATTCTCTAAAATACTACAATTATGTATGTTGTTGGTATGTTCACTCTGTGAAAAACTTTGGTTAGGTCAATGAATGATCTTTGATGTAATTACCACATTTCTCCCAAACAGTAAAGATTCTCTCTGCTGTGCTGTGATTTTGAGAGTGGTCTAAAGTTCACAAAATGAGTTGAGGCACTGTTCTAACATCGATCCATCCAATCTGATCACTAGGAAAAAAAGGATCCTTTGCCAGTCTTCAGGCCAATAATAATTTTTGCTGACTATAAAACTGCCACTAACCCATACCAATTTCCTCACCTCATTGCTTATAAGGCTCTCTAATCATAAAACTAAGAAGCAAATGTACTCGAGCATGACTTTCCTATAAGCATGACTTTCCCTTCTATATTATCAAAAATAAATAAGATAACAAATAACCCTCTGGAGAATGTCTACATAACCAGATGTTTCAAGATTCCCCTCTACAAAGAATGTGTAAAATATAAAGTCTTGCGTCACCCTTCCAAACAAAAATCTCTGGGAATGACTATTCAAACTTTCAATTATTTGACTGTAATCTTCCATGCTCGTAACTAATATGTCTTGTAAATTATTTTCTTCAAAAACGTACAGAACAATTAAAAAACGCCTACCTCAGCTTGGCAGAGTGCATGAAGACCTTGTAACACCAAGGCTGCCGGAGTTGCTTGATCGGGCTTGGTGCATTCATTCAACACCTGGGAAATAGCTGCCAACATATCTGCACCATGCTGATAGGGCCTACAGGAAATGACAGTTTAGAAACAAGATTACAGCCAAAGAGCTGTATTACCACCCCTAGGTCTTTTGCCTGAACAGAAAGCATTAATGCCTTTCTTTACCCTTGTGCCTACTAAATGTTGACCCACAAATAATAACACCATGTGTTTTTCTTCAAATATTTGCATCATCATTTCTGCTATAATTGAAGGCTCAGTTTGGATACAGAAATATTATCCAAAAGAGAAGACACCTATTAAATTTTATTCTCCCTACATCGTAAATTGTCTGAATGGACAAAATCTGAAGTCTACAGTAATGGTGAAAAGAACAGACTTAACCTTATTGAGATTATCAGTAAAAATAGAGCTACTCCTGCCTAGAGGTTGCTCTTATATCAGACACTGACTACAAAAGCAGGGGCTGGAGATCAGGAGATGATTTATTATAGCAGTGACAATAGGTAGGTGGCTATACCTATCACAGTAGTGATGATGATGATGATAAGGATAAAAATAATAATGACATGAATTATAACTGAGTGAGCACCTATTGCATGCCAGGCACTGTGCTGGGTTCACTCACTCCTCCTCCCCCCTTCCTCTCTTCTATTCCACAGGTACTGTGCTAGCCTCAGCATTCTTTTAACTTCATACAGAATGCTCAGGTCCATCCTTTGCATTTCTTATAATTCATCAGTGATATAATCCTTTTCTCTAACAAATTATCAATTGACAAAATGGCCTGACTGGATTCTATTGTTTCACTCTTCAGCCAATGCAAAACATTTCCTAAAACTGGAAAAAATGTGACAACTTGAGATGGTAACTAAAAGGAAAACTGAGTAGGTTCTCAAGAGACTTTCATCTGGTCTAATATTTGACCTCTCCTGAGCTGCAGGCCCAAGTATATAAAATTTAAATGTCAGCTAATAACCTTTTATCTCAAATTTTTTTCCATGCCAATACCTCAAGAGCATCCAAACTCTCAGGTCTTAGGTTACATGTGTGTAACCTTTAGGGTGCGGTCATTTGTGCATTGCCAAAAGTTTGAAGCTTAGAAAAGAGGTAGAACCAATGAGGCTTAGATATATTCTTATCTGAGATTTTCCTTGAAACAGAAATCATCCACGTTATCAGCACCTGGGCCAACCCATTCATCGCACAACTTCAGGAAATACCACTTAGAGTGTCATCATCGACAAAAGTGAGAATGAGGCTCCCAGGAATGCTGCAGTGCAGTGGCTACACATATGAAACTGCAGGATTACAATGCATTTCAAATGTATCAAATCTATTTCCTCTACAAAGATTTTTACCTTACTCTATTCAAGAAAAAAAAAAAAGAAATCTGGCAAGGTAGAGCTTTGCTTAGCGTCACTGCGGTCTTGTCACCTCCTACCTATTTATTAATCCATACTCTAGACAGCAGAGTCCTCTCCCTGATATCTTCATTTCTTCTTAAACATTAGAAAATACATGAGAATTCAAGAACATTTCCTTCCTTGTAATTATTCCTAATAATTGGTTCCTTGCAATGAGTCACAAATAAGGCTTCCTTGATTAAAACTCCTTATAAAAACCAGGCATACATAGGGAAAATATAAGAACAGTTTGACTACAGTCCATTGTTTAGGTTTCAGGGGCTTATATACAGAAAAACAGAATAGACAACATCATATGTTTTCTTACAATTCTAAATTATTACCCAGAAGAGGATATAAATATCCTATAAAGCTAGATATAAGACTAGACCTGAAGTGAAAAGACATGCTTGCTTCTCAAATTTATTGTCCAATACTACTAAGTATTAACAATCAGAAAACTTCAATTGAAAATTAACTTATTCTTATTTAAATATCCTCTGCCTATCTTTCCTAGCTTCCTGCTTGCAATAAAAAAATTAAATGCAAAATAAATATCACGATATACATTCCCAAAGGTTAAGCACATCTTACCTTCGCTTACATATATCTCTGATGGATGCTGCTTTAGCAATCAGTTTCTCCCATTGGACTTCCTTCCCCACAGACAAAGAGGGCGCGTTGGACATGGCCATGAAATGCTGCAGCTCAGGATAGACACGATCCTAAGAAGGCAATTTCACAAAAAAGGTAATTTCCCAACTTGAGTTGAATCATCATCATCTCCTTTTATGCAGCATTTTCACCTCCAAATCTCATATTTGCATTGCAAATCATAATGTATTTCTTCTAATCAGCAGAGAAGAATGATGTTGTGATTGCTGGGGATTTTCTTACAGACCCATGTACTGTTCATTTCATAAAACATGAAAAAAGTGGCTAAATCTCATCCTAATTACAAAGGCGCTAATCACTCATAATCATATTTCTATTACTTTTTCCACGCAAATGGAAAAATAAATTTCAGAACTAAAGAAATAAGATTATTTTCTATTCTCAATTTCTCTATGCGAGTCAATCACAACTGATGCATTACAGACCAAAAGTGTCAAGTTGAATCACAATTTCTCAATGCAATCATGATGCCACTCACTAATTCTACTATATCAAAGCACTGTCACACATAATGACAAAATTAAATTTCTTCACTGAAAGAAATGTTTTATACTCACATAAGAGCCTATCTGAGCTTACCTGCTTTTCCCACAAAGATGTCAACAAACGCAAAGAGACAGCACTTAGCTGTGGAGTAGTTCCAAGAAGTTGGATGACTCGTAGAATTTGTCCTATGCACACCTAGAAAATATTGAAGAAATTTAGGTTTCATAAATGTAAATGTAGATAATCCCAAGGCTATGAAAACATTTCAAAACCCTTTATTATGAAATAAAGACCTAAATGGAAGATCACAGTATTACCCATCTTCTCAAAAGTTGGGGATGGCTTTGGGAGGGGTGAACTGGCAATCCTGGGAATGTAAAGACCTTATTTCAGATAACACCCAATGGGAAAACTTGGCTATTAAGTGATTTAAAAGAATTACTCCTAAAATATTGTAATAAATACTTTTGGCTCAACAAGGAAGGTAGCGATCACAGCAAAATTAAGGGCTCAAAATTTCATATAATACCAAGCAAAATTCAACGTCTTATTCGTGCCTCACTTTCTTTTTGCCCCAAGTAAATTGTTTAATATACAAACCTTGTGAACACCAAGCGTAGGTAAAGTATACAAGATATCATTGTATAATACAGGTTTCAGTGGTTTTCCCAATTTGAACATTAGAACTGGAATTAAATTTGGTACCTAAAATGAATTTAAAACACACATTAATTATGCCTTCTAAAAGAAACCAATCCAAAAGCAATCATTATTTCGTTTTTCTTCAAAGAAGTGATATAAATATATATCAATTAAAAGACTAAAGAAATGTCAGTTAGCAACTTATTGTTAATGGTAATTTGATAGTACCACTAATATTCTATCTTTTATAATTAGCTGCCAAACACCAATCAAAAAATGTTTTTCTAAAACAATTATGACAGTAATTCTCATCAATACCAAACTAGTTAAGATACATCCTGTCCCAAAGAAACTTACAGTTCTAAGGAACAGCTAACACTTAGGATATATAAATAATAAAGTAACTCCGTATGGTGAAATATTCAATTATGTTATTCTAATATGAAATAATTGAAATCAGTTGTACTGTAACAGGTCAACGGGCAAAATTTTTGCTCCAGGTACCAATTTCAATCCCTATAAAATTCATTTGTAGATCACAAGACTTAATGATGTTAAAATGGTAATATTTTTCAAGTAGATCTACTGGTAATATACAATTCCTATCAAAATCCCAGCTGCCTTCTTTGCCAAAATTGATAAGGCAATCCAATAATTCATATGGAAAAGCAAGGGACCCTGAATAGCCAGAACAGTCTTGAAAAAGAAGAAAAAAGTTTGAGAACTGAAATTTCGCAATTTCAAATTACAAAGCCACAGCAATCAATACAGTGTGGTGCTGGCGTAAGGGTAGAAATATAGATCAGGGAAAAAGAACTCAGAATCCAGAAATAAATTCTTACATTTATGTTCAATTGATTTTTGACAAATATGCCAAGAAAATATAATGTAGAAAAAAAGAGTCTCTTCAAAAAAATGGGGCTAGATTTCAACCATTGCATATTCACATGTAAAAGAATTTGGACCCGTTCCTCACACCACACATAAAAATGAACTCAAAGTAGGTTTTAGATCTAAATGTAAAAGCTACAACTACAAAACTCTTAAGGAAAATGCAGTTGACTCTTGAATAACATGGGGGTTAGGAGTGCCGACCTCCCACACAATAAAAAATTTGTGTGTAACTACTATAGGAACAAAGTTCTGTGACCTTGGGTTAGGCAATACCTTTTTAGATGTGACACTAAAAGCATAAGTAACAAAGCAAAAGAAAAGATTTTATTAAATTAAAAATATCTGTCCATCAAAAGATGTTATAAATAAAAGAAAACCCATAAAATGGGAGAAAATATAAGGGACTTGTAACAAGACTATACAAAGAATTCTTACAACTCAATAATAAAAAGACAAATAACCCAATTTTAAAAGAGCAAAGAATCTGAATAGATATTTCACCAAAAAAGATAACCAAAAGGCCAATAAAGGCAGGAAAAGACATTCAACCACATTAGCAATGACCTATAGACACAAATCAAAACTAGAATGGTATACAATTTCACACCCAATAGGATGCCTAAAATAAAAAAGACAGACAATAATAGCAAATGTTGACAAGCATGTGGAGAAATTGGGACCCTTATACACTAGAATGTAAAATGGCGCAGTCCCTTTGGAAAACAGTCGGGCAATTTCTCAAGTGGTTAAACAGAATTACTGTATGATCTAGCAATGCTACTCCGAGGTCTCTACCAAAGAGAAATAAAACACATATCCACATAAAACCTTGTACATAAAAGTGTAATTATAGCTAAACAGTGGAAACCCAAATGTCCATCAGCTGAGGAATGGATAAATAAAATGTAGTCTAGCCATATAATGTAATATTATTGGCTATAAAAAGGAAAAGGAATCAATATGGATGAAACTTGAAAACACTTTGTGAGGTGAAAGAAGCCAGTCACAATACACCACACTGTGTATGATCCCGTTTATATGAGATGTAGGCAAATCTACAGAGACAGGAAGTAGTGGCTTAGGATTGGGGAGCTGTAGCGGAAAATGAGGAGTGATTGCTAATGGGTAAAAGGTTTCTTGTTGGGGGTGATGAAAATGTTCTCAAATTATTTGCAATTATGTTTACAACTCTGTAAATATACTAAAAGTCATTAAACTGTATGCTTTGAATGAATATATGGCATGTGAATTATACATAAAACTATTTTTTACTTAAAAACATTTAATTCAAAATCATGAGTGAATACCTACTGTAAGAAACTACTTGATGGCTCAAACATTTTTTACTTTCTTTACAGTGCATTTCAAAGTTTTGTTGTCCAGAATTAGTTAAATTTCCTCTGTAATCTTAGAAAGCCTATTCTTTTAACTTAAAAGTCATTAATTAATTTATTACTTTTATTACTATAATTCAATTTCAAGGAGGAAAAAAATCCTCTTAACCCTGCCAATAAAAATTTGACAGTTAAACATAATTCATTAATGAGACTGACCATGATATACTTGGCAGCATTTGGAGCTATGCATGTAATGGCTACAGACTTACAACACACAGACAGAATTTACGATGTTTTTAACAATTGCTGGAGCTCTATTAGAACAGAAGTTTCATCATTCTCACCTTGAGCAAAGAAAGGGAGACAAATTTTTGCATTGGCCCTTAATCGCCATTTTAATTAAAGACAAAAGGTTATCTTAGATTTTACTGTACATGTCTCAATGAATTATCCCTTCTGGGAAGATTTCTACCAAGACACTTTGACAAGTTCTTAGTTCTGGGAAGGGCAATCAGTACATTTAGTGGCATTTTGTAAAATAATGTATTTAGTTGTATGGCTTTTAAACAACTATTTTAATTATATTGTCAGGAAAGAAATAAAGTACCAAAGAGTACAGTTCCTTCATGAGACTTAGACCTTATGAGCCTTAGAAGTATGTAAGGGTGTGTATTTTCTATGGCAAGTTCAGACATGAAAAAACAAAGTTGAAAACTTTTACAGTCAATAATCTTAAACTTAATCCAGTTCTTCAGGCTATTATAGCCCAAATTAAATCCTCATGTCAATGGAAAAAATAAAATAGGTGTTATTTAATTAGGAAAACACAGATATAGATACATAGGTGTGGAAAAACTTTTTGCATAAAGTATGGACTGTTGTTTTCCTAAAGAAATAACATTTATGTGTATTTATTGATTTATTTGAGATGTCATTACGAGCTCTTGACTCCTCTGCTCTTGGGCCTTCTCCTCTCCAGAGATAAAAATGAAAATGAGGGCCAGCCGAGTGGCATGTTGGTTAAGAGCTGGCTTGGTACACCAGCTCTGAGAAGCAGGGCCCCGGTTCGGATCCCACATGAGGGCCAGTGACGCTACGCCCTCTACAGCTAAGATGGTGAACAACAGCTTGAACTGAAGCTGGGCTGCCATGAGTCACCGGCGATGGCTTAGGCTGCACTGGAGCTGCAGTGGGCTTCTGTAAGCTACCGTGAGTGGCCAGCAGCTGGTGTGAGCTGCCAAGAGCCACCGTGAGTGGCCGTCCAGTGGCCGGCAGCCCATCTGCCTCACCCGGGAAGAGCTCAATGATAATACCAACATGGGCCAGTGAAGCAACATCCTCCACAACTGGACTGAAGAACAAAAGGACAGAAACTTGTCTGTTCCCCTCCCCCAGTTCCCCAATAAAATCTTTTTAAAAAAAAAAGAATGAATGCTCTGACTTTACCTTAAATTTAAAATAAGCTGGTAAGTGCCCTATAATTCACTGACTCAAGACCTTTTGGAATTCATAAACTTCAATGCTTTCTTTTCCCCCTTCAGAATTCAAGTCCTTGATAAATTAATATAGAATGACAGGATTTTAAGAAGCCCCCATAAGACTATCAGCAGATCTCTAAGCAAAAATCTTGCAAGCCAGAAGAGGGTGAAGGACGATATATTTAAAGTGCTCAAACAAACAAACAACAGCCAGCAAGAATATTATGTCAAGCAAAACTTCCCTTCAAAGCTGAAGGAGAAATATTTTTTCAGATATACAAAAGCTGAGTGAGTTTATCCATTTGAACTGCTTTACAGGAAATCCCAACAGGACTTCTTCAAGTTGAAAAGAAAAGACACTAGACAGCAACACAAAAGCATAGAAAAGTGTAAAGCTCACTGATAAAGGTAAATATATAGAAAAATACAGAATATTGTAATACTATTGTAATGGTAGTGCATAAATCACTTTTAGTCCTGGTATAGAAGTTCAAAGACAAAAGTATAAATAACTATAACTTTAAAAACATGTTAGTGGATACACAATGTAAAAAGATGTAAGTCATGACATCAATAACATAAAGTGGGGCTGGCCGAGTAGCTCAGTTGTTTAAGAGCTTACTCAAGAGCGCAAGCTCTGAGCAACAGGGCCGCCGGTTCGATTCCCACATGGGCCAGTAAACTGCGCCAGAGCTGAGCTGCCGCTGAGCTGCCAACAGGTGGCAGGATGGCTCAGCTAGTGAGAGCACGTGCTCCTAACAAGGTTGCCTATTCGAGATAGTAGGTTATGCCCACCCGCAACTAAGGCTGAACTCAGCACCTTGAGCTGAGCTGCCACCTGGATGGCTCAGTGGATAGAGCGTGTGCTCTTAACAATGAGGCTGCTGGTTCAACTCCTGCATGGGATAGTGGCTATGCTCACCTGCAACTAATTGAACACAACACCTTGAGCTGAGCAGCACAACTGGTCTTGGAGCTGAGCCTGCTGCACCCTCCACAACTAAGATTGAAGGACAACAACTTGGCTGTTCCCTTCCCCAGTTCCCCAACTGTTCCCTTCCCCCAGTTCCCCAATAAAATCTTTTTAAAAATAAATAAAATAAAGTGTGTAGGGGAATAAAAAGTAGAACTTTTATATGCAATTGAAGTTACCAGCTTAAAATAGACTGTTATAAATATATAAGATGTTTTCTGTAAGCCCCATAGTAACCACAAACAAAATACCTATAGAAAACACACCAAAGATAATGCGTAAGGAAACAAAGCATATCAGTGCAAAAAAAAAAAAATCTATGAAACACAAAGTAAGACAGCAATAGAGGAAAAGAGACAAAAAAGCTATAAGACAGACAGA